TCTGGATAACAAGGGCTGGTGAAAGAATCTGAAACACGAGGCACCCCAGCACTCCGCCAGCTCCTCATCCTTGCATTTACTCTCAGAGCCGGAGTCAGGGTCCTGGAGAACAGGTGACGCCCAGCAGTGCCTGTACTGACCCAGACACGCAGGCTCTCTGCTCTCTGCTCTCTGCTGTCCGCTGTCCGCTGTCCGCTCTCCGCTCTGCCCTCTGCCCTCTGCCCCCTGCCCTCTGCCCTCCGCCCTCCGCCACCCGCACCCCACTCTCCACTCTCCCCTAACCGCACTCCACTCTGCCCTCTGCCCTCAGCCCTCTGCCCTCTGCCCTCTGCTCCCTGCTCCCTGCCATCTGCTCCCTGCTCTCTGCTCCCTGCTCCCTTCTCTCTCCTCTCTGCTGCCTCTTTGCACAGTCCGTGTGACTGACTGACAAGAGGTCAGGTGGCCCATTGAGGCCTCCCCGTGGATATCTGTGTACTGGGCCTGGTCACTACAGTTCCTGTCTCTAGACGACTCGACGTGGATCTGTACCGTGCGCGAGCGTGCCTGCGGGTCTGGTTCCTGCCCCGTCGGGCCTCACGGTCTCAGGCCCATGCGAGCTGGCCGCGTCCCTCCTCCGGCGGGGATCGAGGCAGCCGCGCCATGGGGCCCCTTCCTGTAAACGGCTCCGCGCGGTAACGCGCTGTGCCCTCTGTGCCCCCGCGCCGTGTGACTGACGCCCACACAGTGGCGCCTGCCTGGTTCCCACAGCTGCTGACAATGGGCTCTCTCACGCCGGCTGGCCAGGGTGCTGCCGCATCTAGCTTCCCAGGGGCCGTAGCTGCTCCTTCCCCTGCCAGGTCACAACAAGGTCTTTCTCACCTTGATCGGAATCGGGGTTCCCTCTGCGGGGGGCGATGTTTCCCCTCTGAGCTGCAGGCTCTTGTGTCCTAACTGGCACCAGGGAGTCGATGTGCGTAGGCAGGTTTAATATTAGGTGTTCTGCTTTTTTTCAGCACGTTTTTGCCATAGGCTTGCAGTGGGTAAAACCCGGAATGCAGCACAGGGCTGTACGATGGGACACTGGTTGTCAAAGGAGGGGTGTGAGCAGCCGCAGAGGATGTGAGCTGCTGCTGTGACAATGAGCCGGTTGTTTGTCATCAGGCGGTGTCCTTGGTGTAGTAGCTCTATGCTGCCATCTGCTGGGCCAGCAGAGTCATTGTCCCAACCCAGATCCACAGAATGTTCTCTGCAAGTACTCAGAGCTGCAAACTCAGCAAGAGACAACGCAGTCGATTTATTTTCTTTGGCCTGTTTTTGTCATCTTTTATTTTTAGACGCACGTGATGTGCTTTAAAAGGCAAGCCTTTTGCCTAAAGCTCGTCTTCTAAGTCGCTCATTTAAACCTGTTAATTATCCAAGACGCGTGAATGTGAATCAATTTGCAGCGTGTCCCACCTGCTGAAAAATAGCCACACTACGTGTTGGGCTGACATTGGTGCAGATCAGATGAGCTTGGGGTTCATGAGGAACTGGGCGCAAGGCAGGGTACATCCCGTACGGGACGCCAGTCCATCACACGCAGAAACAAACACACACTCACACCAGCACCAGTTTTCCCAGAAGCCATTTAACCTACCAGTATGTCTTTGGACTGTAGGAGGAAGCTGGAGCACCCAGAGAAAACCCACACAAACACAGGGAGAACATGCAAACTCCACACAGACAGCACCCCAGGAATCACACC